CGCCAGCCACCGTTCTGTTCCACAATTCGCTTTGCTTGGCACACCTTGTGCAAAAGTTCCCTTGCGAACTACAAACGTGCGACGACTTTCCTGGAATGCTCTTCCCAAGGTAAATTCAACATGTGCAAAAAAACGACGACTTTGTCATTCCTTGTATGTTCAAATGTGTGAAACAAATCATGGCTACTCAGCTGAAGTCTCTGAAGCTCTCAAACGTACCGAGACCCTGCCATCATCCCGTTTCACGCTAGTTCTGGGGAGTGCCTACCACCCCACCCCACATCTTCAAGGTTTATTATTATATCGGTTCACTGAGAGACATTGAGCCATTGACCTCGAACTGTTTTGACGTCGTGTCATGGAAGATCACCTTGCCCCACCAAAATTCCACTAACTAACGAATCATGTTTCATCTTCTCCATGAATTGGACAAATCCCACTCCTGAAAGAACATGGGGTGAAGTTGTGTTTTTTCTCCCCATGTCCAGGCTATGCACTTGCCTAGGCTATGGAGAAAATCACCTCCTCCCCCAAACAAACACATTTCCTTGGTCACGCCGGACTTTGTGAGCCAAGTAACTTCACCGCCTCCTGCAGTTGCAGGTGTCCAGCTTGTCCCTCTGCCTCACCCTCCTCGCGCCAGGCGGGATCAGACCTGCGAGTTGGTGAACCGGAGTGTCGGTGTGAGGGTGCAGGGATTCAACAGTGATCCAGCATGCGTGACCTAGTATAAACTTCTTCTTCTCTGTTTGGCATGGACTAGATCATCCAGACGAGGTAGAATTACTGTATTGCGAAATCATTATATAATTTATAGTAGCACAGCTCGAAAGAGAAACCAATGACCATTCAGACCGTTGGCACCCACTGAAGCGTACCTAGAAACACATGGGAACCTCTTCGGCGAGCCGAACCTCGCCTCAAGGTCTCCAAGATCTCCTGGACTTCCTCAGGCGAAGAAGACCGGTACCAAAGACCGGTCACAACACAAAGGGGGGTATATAACAAAAGAGGCATAGTAACTAGTTAGTATCTATATATATATATATAGTTAGTAACTAGTTGTTGACTATTATTGTTTGACATTTTCCTGTGTTTGCCTAGTTTATTGTTTACCGTTTAGAATTTACTTGGCAGATATTCACTATCAATTCAGTAGGCTGTCAGATGAAAAACCCTTGTAAAAGGGATACCACAAGGAGCTTTCGAAAAACAAACACATAACCTTTGCATAGGTGGTGACTGGCAGGTTTCTTGCCTATCTGTGGATGGGTACCGTCGTATATATGCACCAACAGTTGCCACAATACCCATCCAACCAATACAGCAACCGCCAAACGGGGTCTGAAAAACGATTCTCTGATTGAGATGGACCTGTCAAAATGACCACCGGAAAACTATGCCATATTCATCTGCCAACTGTGATTTCGGAACAGTTGTCGTTTTGCGACAGCGCGCGGAACCCTGTAAGATCCCTTGTTGTGGAATTGGGTTGCACGTCAAAACTTCAGGCCTGTACCTTCTTTTCTATGTATTCTGACTTTTGGTATGTCAAAAAAAGCAAAATCAGGACCCATCAACCGAGATATGTTTGTCCTGGACACTGCCCTAAGATGATGACGGCTGTGAACACAAGGCATGATACCAATAACCGCTCCTGTCAGAGGAAAATATGGAACATGAAATTACTTTACTTCGAGTGATCCCCACCATGACATTTCAATCATTTGTCTTGATGCTATAGTGAGGAGCATGTTGCCATGGTCGTGAGTATTGTAGTTCTCGATTTTGCTTGTGGGTCCTCGGGTTGTGTGCTGTGGTTGTGTGTTGTGGTTGTGGTTGTGTGCTGTGTTGTGGTTGTGGTTGTGTTTGTCATTGTGTTTGTGGTTGTGTTTGTGGGTGTGTGTTTGTGGTTGTGTGTCTGTGGTTGTGTTTGTCGTTATGTGTTTGTGGCTGTGTGTTTGTGATTGTGTTTGTGGTACTGGTAGAAGTTGTGATTGTGTGTTTGTATTTGTGGTTGTGGTTGTGGTTGTGTGTTTGTTGTTTTTGTGGTTGTGTGTTTGTTGTTGCGTTTGTGTGTTTGTGGTTGTGTGTCTGTGGTTGTGTGTCTGTGGTTGTGGTTGTGGTTGTGTTTGTTGTTGTGTGTGTTTGTGGTTGTTGTGTTTACGTTGTTGTCTCTGGTTGTGTGTTTGTGGTTGTGTGTTTGTGGTTGTGTGTTTGTGGTTGTGTTTGTGGTTGTGTTTGTCGTTATGTGTTTGTCTCTTTGTAGTTGTGTTTGTCGCTATGTGTTTGTGATTGTCTCTTTGTAGTCGTGTTTGTAGTTGTGTGTTTGTGATTGTGTTTGTGGTTGTGGGTTGGTGATTGTGTTGTTTGTCGTTATGTGTTTGTGATTGTCTGGTTGTGTGTTTGCTGTTCACTGTTTGTAATTGTGTGTTGAGGTCCGGCAGGGAACACTGGGCGTGGATGGTCGTGGTTGAGGTCCGGCGGAGGAGGACGAGGAGGCGGAGATGGGGCTGACGTAAAGTCTAACAACCCTCACCTGACAAGTGGGGAAAAACGACTTCCGCTCTTAAAGCCCTCAATTCAATCCTGAATTCGGCTCTGACAACTTCAGCGTGCCCGCTTGAGTTGTTGAAGGTTGAACTTGCAGGCCCGCTTCCCAAGAAAAACTTTTGTGAAACAGCCTTCCATCTCTGGGATGAGTAACTACAACTTACTTTCACAAAACAAGTAAGAAAAGCCAATCCATTGGCCTGAAAAACGATCAGCTGCATATGCTGCAGCGGCTTCCAATGGCACATGATCAATCCAACTAAAGCATGACGGTGTGGCCCCATGTCTGCTCAGGCTTCATATCGGACCGATGGAGAACTCGTTCACGCTGTGGGTAGGCCCCCTCCCAACCGCGCCGCATCCATTGCGCCTTCCGTCCGAGGCTCTGGCTCCAGCTGCAAGTCTTGAGTGATCTCCGAGGCCCGTTTCTTCCGCACTTTGGCGCGATCGGCCGGGTTGTTGAACAAAAGCCTGGTTCGGCCCACTGGTAAAGGAAACGTCAACTGTTCGCTACTGTTCAATCTCAGGTCCATCAACTGACACTGGGTCTTTCAGCCCACCAGAACCTCAAAGCCTGCAGTAGAACCTGCAAGTTCGACCACATATTAGAATGACTTGAGAGGGAGACACGAAAGGTAGGACAGCGGGAAGAGAAGAGAACACGAGAGGCAGGAACAAAAATGCAATGTTCGACATGGTGATTTATCCCCTCGGAGGCGACCTTTCGTAAATATATGTTCATATGCACTCTATATAAATGTTCAAAAAGATTCTTAGGAAAACAAACTTGCCCCATGGCTCAGATCATCGGTGAGCATTGAATCGGAGCATCATAGGATTTGAACTATCCTGAAGCCATAAGAGGCTCACGAAGACGCTCCCCAGGAGAGAATTGACGTGCTTCACAAAACAAACTCTAGGTATGTATCCCCTGGGGGAACACCTTTCGTGATTAGAATTTCATATGCACTCTTTCTGAATGTTCAAGAGGGTTTCAACTATCCTGAAATCATGAGAGGCTCACGAAGACGTTCTCCAGGAGAGAATTGACTTTAGAGGGGGGGGGAGCTGTACTGAAAAATCAATTCCAACGGGGCGGGGGGGGTCTGTATTGAGAAACCAATTCGAGGGGGGGGGTTGAATTGAATGATCAATCATTAGACCCGGACGTCCCAACACTTGCTTCGCAAGACAAACTCAAGGTATCCCCTAAAGGGCTACCTTTCGTGACATGCATCTGCCACGTTTGCCAGCAATCTCGTTGCCCAATCCAAGCGGCCCCAAATCATGCTTCTGTCGTTCCAGATCCTCCTCCTCATTGAAGCCCTTCTTGCCTCAAATAACATTCGCAGAAGCATGAGACACCCTGGAAGTTACAAACTCCATGGAACTGAGACAAGTTGAACATCTCCAAATTTGCCATGTTTGACCTCCGGGCCTTTGGATTTCTTCTTTTTCTTCGCCTCTGGGGGCGCTGGCACCTCGCAGCTGCTCTTCGCCAGGCGATCTAATGGCTTCCCATCAGCCATGGCACCGTGAGGTGGGTGTGATGAGCATGGCTGGTGGGGAAGTTCCCACTGGAGTTGCAGAATCCTGGACCCTGACCCACCACATACACAACACACGTGCATCATCGTTGATCCACCAGCCATCTCTAAAAGACCAATAGAAAACACAATGACCTTGCATGACTGTCCGAATGGTGCTTTTCCTATCAGGACATGCTATGCCAAGAAAAGCGCACAGGTGGGTTCTGGAACCTTTTCAGGATGATTAGATTTGATCGCTGTGTTGGTTTATTATTAAAAGACTTAGTTCTCTCCTGAAACATATCTTCAAGCAATTTCCTGGTAAATCATGTTCTGCATGCCTCTTCCAAGGATAGCTTGATGAAGTTGGGTGCGCTGGCCGAAGAGTAGCATTCTGCAATCTTGAATTCCGAACCCTATAGGAAAGGATCTGCATTCTCTGCCTTTTTAACGCTCTATAACTTATAACCCTCAATGCGTCTTAGTCGGCCACCTGAAACTGGGCCCCTCGAGCTTCAGATTCCCACAGGACGCCGGTTGAGCTCTCCAACCCATGTGCCACCAAAGGATGACACAAAATCGTAGCATACCTCATACCTCTCTCAAAATTCACTCACCCCGTATTTACCCGAAGACGCCTCGCAAAACGCTGCATCCCACACGCTGGACCTTTGCATCGCGTAGAAAGCGGCTCATGGCCTGTCGACATGGTGACCGCTGGGCTGGCGGGGCGAACGCAAACTGCAGGTGGTCAGAACGACGAGATCCTTGGATCCCTTTTCACCGGGTGCACCAAAACGCACAGGTGCATTCGGTCCAACGCTAGATCGATGGTGACCGGTGACCAGTCGCCCTCATAAAACCGGTTGAGCACTCTTCGGTTGACGGGTCAGCCGACCGGTCAGCAGGATTCCTGTGTCAACCGAAGCGAACACCAAGGAGTCCCAGTCCCGCACCCAAGCACACCGCCTCCATGACCACTGGGCACATGGCACTGGGTGTCAAGCCACAGCTGCTGGGGAGAGCGCTACCAGTGCCTTTGGCCTCGGCCAGCAAGCCGCCCAAGCGAGTGATGCCGGCCTCCTGCAGAACGAGAGAGCCGGTGGTGAAGCTCCACAAGCACAACGAGCAACAACTGTTTGAGGTTTTCATCGAGCACAGTGAGGTGAAACCTCCACCCGGGGTTCTCTGCATGTGTTGTGCCTGAATCTAGTCCTCTAAGATGGTAAGGGTAGGGGAGTGTGGGAAGCTGATCCTACTTGAAGGGTGATTAATTATCTTTCTTATACTGGTGTGTTTCTCCGTGACCAGCATCTTTGGGCATGAATCAATGCTCCAAATCGTTCGTACGGCTTCTCTTCGCACGGCTTCTTGCAGGGATTGTGTCCATATGCTTACGACTTACGATCCATTTTTCCTGCCAGGTACAAAAGGGGCTGAAGTGGATGATAACTAACTTTTCTTCCACCAGCTTTCTTACCTCCATCAAGCTGTTGACCATCGACCTGTTTGACCATCAAATCTCTATGGGCATAGCTCCTGAACCTCGGCTGACGTGGCATTCGCCTCCAGCAGCTTCTTCACCTGGAAACTGAGCAACACGGCCGAAGAAGGCTGGCAAACTGTGGAAATCTGTGGCGAAACTAAGCAGGGTCCGCCATGGAATATTGCAGCTACGTATGCAATCCTATAAATATATAAGTATGCATAGATACGTATATATATATATATATGCCTGGAGCACCAAGACTGCAGCTTTGCAATAACACACAGGGCCACACAAGCAACACATTTGTTCTCTTGCCTCCCTCTTCAGAACAATCAACACCTCCCATTTCAGAGTGAACTGAACATTTCTTGCTTGGCCTCTCTCCATGACGCTTGCCGCTATGAAGCACCAGAACCACACATGCTGCTGTTGAGACACTGGGATGCTTGCAGGATCCACAATCACTACTATCAAACTGCTGAGTCGAACCAGCGCTTTCCAAGCGCCTTTGCCAAACCCTGCGGCGTGGTGTCGCTCCAATCTTTCCTTAATTACCCCAGCAATGCAAACGGTATGGAAACAGTCGAGGTATTGTATGTGTCGTATTGCATTCTCTACAAACATTGGGATGAACTCAATGGAGCTGATGGTTTGGGTCGCTGCCTGTCAGTCGGCTGCTGTGAAGTTGTTCAAAGCAGGACGAGGTTAGTTGGCTTGTGCTCACGACAAACAAGGGGCAACGCTCATTCTAAGCTGCTTGAAGAATGATCAAATAAGCCTCATCAAAAAACAATGGATCAAGTTCTAGCCCATCATGTGTTCAAAGATTTGCGGCTTGTTCCCCAAACATCCCAACCAACACATTGATACGCTGGAAAGCGTGACCAGTTGCTGACATATCCAAACAAACTGTCCCTGGATGTCCCAGGTACTCTCCAAGCAAAATGACACACTGCACTTCCTGGGAGGACACGAGTTGCAAAACATTAGCCATTAAGTAGCCGAACCTCGCCACAAGGACACGGAAGCCTCCCACTATCTGGAACATCGAAAAAGAACTACATATTTATACATATATCAGTCCACACATGAGTTCTCAGGCCGCCATGCTCTCAAAAGCATGGTGTGCATCTCAAAACCGTTTATATACGAACCATTCGTTGGTAGATCTACAGCCAGTACATGTCGGGTGTGAGACACCAAGCCCATCACCCACCGGATGGCTGAAATTGGACTCTTTCCAACGCTCCGGGATGTTTGGTCCAAAGAAGCTCGAAGCATCGCACGATGCTGCGTTTGGCCAAGTCACAGCCGCTGCACCGTTTCAAGCTCCTCTTCGGTGGCTCTTGGCCGCTCGTAGGGCACTGGAACTTCTTCCGGCGCGGGGGCTAAAAGCTCAGTGTAAAGCTCTGGGTCCTGGGCCACGCTGGGTCCGGGCGAAGGTGGTCAGAAATCGCTGGAGGGGATACCGGCTGATAAGGAGTATAGGGCTCAAGTGTGATGGATTTATGAAGAGAACTTTACATGCACAGTTTGGATGTGCCAAGATGTGCCAAGCTTCACAAGAGGCAATGGATCGATGATTGAGCTTCATCGGGACCTGAATAAAGTGTCACGTCCCCACTGGACCCAAATACCGGGAGTGCCTGGATCCCAAATTGCACAGTTCCTGCAGGGATGGTTTTGGGTGTCCCGAGTTATGAAGCAAAGCTGATTGGCTCCACTACCCGGTACCCCAAAGATGTGACCTCAAATCACTAAGCAAAGAAGCCTACACATGGCTACAATTAGCTACCTGCATATATATATATATATATTATGACCTGAAAAGGCTCCCATCCGAAGGTAGTTCGACCTTGGCGGTCCTGAGTTGTGGTCATCCAGAAATCCCGTCAACAAGTGTAATAAGGGCTCATCTGTCGGGTCTGAACTCCGAAAGGAGGGTCAAGCCGCCATAGATGATATGTGAGATGATACATTGAAATATGGACCCGCATACACCAACAAAAAGAGAACACAAGACCACCCAAACCACCAAGTGTGTGTGTGTGCCTGTGCGTGTCTAAACAAACGACCCCTCCCTCCTGGAGAAACTACTAGCAACTGATAAGCAAATGACAAGCATTATGAAACCCATTGAAACCACGTTGGAGATCCCCTCCTTCACTTGGATGGGCCATACTTTGCATGCGTGAACCTGCTCCCAGGCCAGTTCCATCCAAGATTCAATGTAGAACTCCTCTTCTGAGACGCTCTGCCCATCTTCGAACCTTCGGCATAGCTGAGGAACCAAACGCCACACGAGGAAGGAACACCCAAAGAATGCTCAAAGCACAAATCCTTCTGCTTCTGCAATCTTCTGCAGGGATTGCTGTATATAGCACTATATTATAGCCATATTCCAATGCTGGATCTGAAAATTCGGGGCCCTCTCACTTGGTGCAAGATCCATCCTCATGTGTGCCCTTTCGGAATGCCGAAGCGCATTTTGCCAACGAGTCCGACGGGCCAAGCGGCTGAGAGAGGTAAAACTCCAGGCCCTCTTTGAGCTCCTTGGAGCAGCGCAGGGTGTTGGGTCGGCTGTGAGAAGGGGTTCCTCCAAATGATCCAGATTCCAAAAAGGTCCATCAAGATTTGGGGATGGCCACGGTCATCAGCCGTGTCCACATGAACAAGTCGAGTCCAAAGCGGGTGAGGAACGACATATTATGTCAGGTGGAGCGTGATTTTGTCCGTGGACCGAAACTGAGACCCCAAAACCATTGGATCACCATGCGCCAATTCAAATCCAGCATAGCTGCTTGTCTACAGCAAAAGTCAGGACAAAGACTGATACCACCTTAATCTCTAAAGATCTCTAAAGGAGAGCAGGTTGCTGCGGGAAGGATCCGCCACCGATCACTAAAGGCAACAAGTCACCAAGGCTCTGCCGGCAGCGCTGGCACCTCACCGCGTTCCATGCGGGTGCGCAGCAACGCCAGCTGCTCCTGCCGAGGGCTTCTTGGATGCAAACCCCCAGCAAAGAGTATAGCAAGGTGTTTGGGAGTGTGGGGTGTGGACCGGAGGCTGGAGGGTGCAACGAACTTCTCCCAGCAAACCATCCAATGCCGCAGCCCCTCAACCGTCCGAGCGGATGTTCTAGAAAACATATGCTAGCAAGTCGCAAGGAAACTCCCCTCTACCTCCTTGGCTCCTTGTTTCAACGGAAATGTGGATATGCTCCAAATTGCTCCTTCCCAACCACCAGTCAGTGTAGTTGGACTGTAGCACTTTCCGTGCCCGCCTGGTGCCAGGTATGGTGCTCAGTTAACCAGGCAGGGCCGGCTGACTGCTGCTGACTCAGCTTCTCCAGCTGTGTGGCCAACCAACGTAGCTCCTGAAGACTCCAGGGCCCAACCAACCGCTCTGTTGGCTGGGCCGGACCTGCCCCTCGATGTGGATGTGGCCAAAGGGAACTACTACATAGAGGTTGGCCCGGCAGTTTCTCCATATCCCCATGGCTGCTTGGATGCAGTTACCACTGGCTAGACGAAACCAAAACAAGCTCAATCCTAAAAATGGCACTGCACTGACTATAGGAGCCTGCGAAGGCATGAGCAGAACTCCGTAAAGGTGTTTGAATTTGGGTCAATCCATGAGTCGTTAGACCGTTGTGACAACAGGAACACGCTCAAAAACTCATCCAGTTGCTTAAAGTCCTAAATAATTTTCCTGGACAAACCCATTGTATTGATTCCAAATTCATGTCAGCTAGTCACAAAGTCACTAAGTACAAATCAATGAAACCAACACATTCCCCATGCTCAAGGCCTCACTTTGACCCTCAGCACAGACGCCGAAAGACTTGCCAGTTCATGTGTTGAAACAGTGCTGCTTAAGTAATCCATGCACTGGCACTCACAGCCTTGACATGCCTTGACCACGGTGAACCAGTGTCTCCCACCTCAAGGGAACTGTGGACATGAAAAAACAAAGCAAGTCCAAACCTCTTGATGGCCTCTTTGGTTGCATATATAAAATATGTGAATATATACACACATACATACATACATACATACATACATACATGCATGCATGCATACATACATACACACAACACACACACA